AAACAATGACAACAACAACAACAACAACAACAACAACAACAACAACAACAACAACAACAAAAAACAAAAACAACAACAACAACAACAACAACAACAACAACAACAACAACAACAACAACAACAACAATCATAAATTATAGCAACCCCAGATAACAACATAGATGCTCCAAAAACGATGCCTCCAGAAAGGGAACAACATAAGACTGTTGTCGTCGCTGGACCCGACCACAAAGACCAGATCCCGAGTTTTCACTTGAGCAAGGAGTCTGAGTAACCTCGCCTTCAATAAGAGAACATTTTGTGAACAACGTCATTGTCAAGTTTAACCAATGAAGGTCAGACCTAGAGTTTTCACCACTGGAACATGAGCCCCTACACTAAGAAAGCACCATATATCCAGCACCACCCTATGTTGTCACCGTCATGTTGATCCATCATTGCACAGTCACGCAGACGAACGGTCCTCATGTACCTAGCCATAAAATTAGAACCATACATGTGTAACACATGCTTTCGAGCAGCACATGTCATCCTACATATTTACCGATCCCATGCTGACGAAAGTCCATACCATCCACACAACCAATTTAGGCTAGTCACATGGGGCAATTCGACAATGGGGAAACCCACACATCAAGCAGAAGTTGAGTTGTTCAATCGTCTATTGCACACACCATATTTGGGCCATGTCGGCACTCCAAAACTCTATACCGAGTTGGAAACATCCAATCACCGAAGCGGACCGCCAGGATTCCTTCAATACGAAGGCTAAAATCCCGCCGACCTTATTCCAAGCCTCGGGTCGTGCAGCCGGGAGAAAAATAACCAAGGGCGTGTTTGGTTACATTGCCGATTCAGCCTGGCCCGATGAGCCTCGCTCTATTGAGCCGGTTTGAGGGGATGCAGGCCAAAAAAACCCAGATGCACATAGTTTGGTTGCCTGCATGCCCCTAGTTGCATGAGACAACCATTTTTGACCCGGTGTTTGGTTGCCCGCATTGCATTAGGCGCACATATAACATGGTGTTTGGTTGCAACCTGCATAAGGTGTTGTCACCACTTCTAACTAGTGGTGATCTTACCACACACAATCTAAACACAGTCCAGCTAGTTAAACAAATGACAGTTCATCCTAACTACTATCAAATGATAGTTCAAATTATTAAGAACCATTGGCTAAATAGGGGATAATTCATCGGTGTTGCTGCTTCATCTTCCCCTTCATCTTCCTCTTCTTCTGCTTCTGCTGCTGCTTCTTCTTCTTCCTCTTCTTCTGTGGTTCTGCTGCTGCCGCTTCTTCTTCCTCTTCTTCAAATCATGCACTAACCTCTGTTAAGCCACATTGCCTCTGCCCACTCCAACCTTTTGTTCTTCCAAGCGTCATTGTCAAATGCCTCCATCATGTCTACTACACAACCTTCTTCTTGTAGACGTTGTTGGGCCTGCAAGTGCACAGGTTTGTAGGACAGTAGCAAATTTCCCTCAAGTGGATGACCTAAGGTTTATCAATCCGTGGGAGGCGGAGGATGAAGATGGTCTCTCTCAAACAACCCTGCAACCAAATAACAAAGAGTCTCTTGTGTCCCCAACACACCCAATACAATGGCAAATTGTATAGGTGCACTAGTTCGGCGAAGAGATGGTGATACAAGTGCAATATGGATGGTAGATAAAGGTATTTGTAATCTGAAATTATAAAAACAGCAAGGTAACTAATGATAAAAGTGAGCATAAACGGTATTGCAATGGTAGGAAACAAGGCCTAGGGTTCATACTTTCACTAATACAAGTTCTCTCAACAATAATAACATAGATAGATCATATAACAATCCCTCAACATGCAGCAAAGAGTCACTCCAAAGCAACTAATAGCGGAGAACAAACGAAGAGATTATGGTAGGGTACGAAACCACCTCAAAGTTATTCTTTCGGATCGATCTATTAAAGAGTTCGTACTAGAATAACACCTTAAGACACAAATCAACCAAAACCCTAATGTCACCTAGATACTCCATTGTCACCTCAAGTATCCGTGGGCATGATTATACGATATGCATCACAAAGTCTCAGATTCATCCAACCAACACAAAGTACTTCAAAGAGTGCCCCAAAGTTTCTACCGGAGAGTCAAGAACGTGTGCCAACCCCTATGCATAGGTTCATGGGTGGAACCCGCAAGTTGGTCACCAAAACATACATCAAGTGGAACGTGATATCCCATTGTCACCACAGATAAACACGGCAAGACATACATCAAGTGTTCTCATAAAAGACTCAATCCGATAAGATAACTTCAAAGGGAAAACTCAATTCATCACAAGAGAGTAGAGGGGGAGAAACATCATAAGATCCAACTACAATAGCAAAGCTCGGGATACATCAAGATCATGCCATAGAGGGAACACGAGAGAGAACACGAGAGAGAGAGAGATCAAACACATAGCTACTGGTACATACCCTCAGCCCCGAGGGTGAACTACTCCCTCCTTGTCATGGATAGCGCCGGGATGATGAAGATGG